AAAAAAAAAAAAAAAAAAAAAAAAAAAAAAACAAAACAAAAAAAAAAAAAAAAAAAAAAAAAAAAAAAAAAAAAAAAAAAAAAAAAAAAAAAAAAAAAAAAAAAAAAAAAAAAAACAAAAAAAAACAAAAACAAACAAAAAAAAAAAGTCAGAAAAAGTCGGGGTAGATTTTTCTCAAAAACCGACCCCCGCACACGAAGCAAGCTCAATAAACCCTAAACCCTAAACCCTAAACCCTAAACCCTAAACCCTAAACCCTAAACCCTAAACCCTAAACCCTAAACCCTAAACCCTAAACCCTAAACCCTAAACCCTAAACCCTAAACCCTAAACCCTAAACCCCAAACCCTAAACCCTAAACCCTAAACCCTAACCCCCAAACCCCAACCCTAACCCCAAAATGCCTTGTTTACTTAATTGTAAGGTGTTTGTTTGTTGCTAGACACTAAACACTGAAACCCTAAAACCTAAACCCTAAACCCTAAACCCTAAACCCTAATCCCTAAACCCTAAACCCTGAAACCCTAAACCCTAATCCCTAAACCCTAAACCCTAAACCCTAAACCCTAAACCCTAAACCCTAAACCCGAAACCCTAAACCTAAACCTTAAGCCCGAAACCCTGAGCCAAGACAAAAACCTTGCCAGAAGCACCTCTCCTGAACTCAAAACCCTAAACCCTCTGGGGCACCAGGCTCTCGATCGTGGTCATGTTGTCATCTTCCTCAGCTGCACCCCCCCCTTCCCCCCGCTAAACCCTAAACCTCTTAACCCTGAAACCATCTTCCCTCTTGACCCCTAAACCTTAAGAACCCCTTAAACCTAAACCCTAAACCCAAAAATCTGGGTTTTATTGGTTTTCTACTCCTTTTAAACCCGGTACACACCAACAAGCATCAAGTCTGCGAAAACCTCGAGTTTTTATTGGTTTCCTACTCCTTTTAAACCCGGTACACACCAACAAGCATCAAGTCTGCAAAAATCTCGAGTTTTTATTGGTTTCCTACTCCTTGTAAACCCGGTACACACCAACAAGCATCAAGTCTGCAAAAATCTCGAGTTTTTATTGGTTTCCTACTCCTTTTAAACCCGGTACACACCAACAAGCATCAAGTCTGCAAAAATCTCGAGTTTTTATTGGTTTCCTACTCCTTTTAAACCTGGTACACACCAACAAGCATCAAGTCTGCAAAAATCTCGAGTTTGAATATGGTTTCCTACTCCTTTAAAACCCTAAACCCTAAACCCTAAACCCTAAACCCTAAACCCTAAACCCTAAACCCTAAACCCGAAACCCTAAACTCTTAAGCTTAAGCCTGAGTGCTCAGCTAAAGCCTTCTCACGTACAGGAGCGTAACACACCTTGACGGGAATGTAAACAAATGACCTTCTAGTCTTACCTAGAGGTAAATGGTAATTATAGAATATAATTACAGCCATTTACAGGTAAGTGCATGTCTGTATACAAATATTCGTTAATATTTCTATAGACAGTACTGTCAGTATTAATACAAGAGTTATTTAACGCCCTAAAACCCTGACATCAAACCTTTTTTGGACCCTAGCGTGCTCGTGGCCAGCCAAATGCCTGGGGCCAAAAATTACTCGGGAACAGCGCGTTTTTCTTTGTCTGGCCTTGCTAAATCGTGGTTGAAGCCAAAAATGAAGCCAAAAATTACTCCAAAACAGTGCGTTTCTCTTTGCGTGGCCTCTCTGAAGCTCTTTCGAAGGTCTGAAGGAGGCTGAAAGCTTTTTTGAAGGTCCCAGGGAGGCTCCGTGGGGGGTACCCCAGGATTCGGGAAAAATGGCTCGATTCCCAATTAATTTTAAATAGATTTTATATAGCGGAAATTACCCCCTCATTTTCTAAAATTCTGGCCTTCTTGTGGGGGTAGCCCAAGAGAGGGTAAGCCACCCTAAGCCCCAGTCAAACCCGGATCAAAAAATGGACCCTCGAGTGCTCGTGGCCAGCCAAAGGCCTTGGAGCCAAAAATTACTCGGGAACAGCGCGTTTTTCTTTGTCTGGCCTTGCTAAATCGTGGTTGAAGCCAAAAATGAAGCCAAAAATTACTCCAAAACAGTGCGTTTCTCTTTGCGTGGCCTCTCTGAAGCTCTTTCGAAGGTCTGAAGGAGGCTGAAAGCTTTTTTGAAGGTCCCAGGGAGGCTCCGTGGGGGGTACCCCAGGATTCGGGAAAAATGGCTCGATTCCCAATTAATTTTAAATAGATTTTATATAGCGGAAATTACCCCCTCATTTTCTAAAATTCTGGCCTTCTTGTGGGGGTAGCCCAGGAGAGGGTAAGCCACCCTAAGCCCCAGTCAAACCCGGATCAAAAAATGGACCCTCGAGTGCTCGTGGCCAGCCAAAGGCCTTGGAGCCAAAAATTACTCGGGAACAGCGCGTTTTTCTTTGTCTGGCCTTGCTAAATCGTGGTTGAAGCCAAAAATGAAGCCCAGTCAAACCCGGATCAAAAAATGGACCCTCGAGTGCTCGTGGCCAGCCAAATGCCTGGAGCCAAAAATTACTCGGGAACAGCGCGTTTTTCCTTGTCTGGCCTTGCTAAATGGCTTCTCTGAAGCCACCCTAAGCCCCAGTCAAACCCGGATCAAAAAATGGACCCTCGAGTGCTCGTGGCCAGCCAAATGCCTGGAGCCAAAAATTACTCGGGAACAGCGCGTTTTTCTCTGTCTGGCCTTGCTAAATCGTGCTTGGGGCCAAAAATTACTCCAAAACAGTGCGTTTCTTTGTGTGTGGCCTCTTTAAGTGCGTTTTTCTTTGTCTGGCCTTTCTAAATCGTGCTTGGAGCCCAAAACTACTCCAAAACAAGGCGTTTTTCTGTGTGGAGTACCCCACAGGAGGGGGTAAGCCCCCCTAAGCCACCCAAAGGCCTTAGCAAGCCGACTTTCTAGTCTTACCTAGAAGTAAATGGTAATTATGGAACATAATTACAGCCATTTACTGTGTAAGTGCATGGTCTTTTGTTTCTCACATTTTCTGTAATCTCTTTACCAGACACTATTATCAATATTAGCGACGCTTAAGAACTTAAGCGTCCTACAGATTCTTTGGGTGGCATCCTGGGGTGGGAGAAAGTAGAGCTCCATGTACATGACGGAACTCTTTTGCGCTGAAGGTTTCGGACGTCCGTCTCTCTTTCCATACACTACGCATGTTAAATCGACAAGCCCTAAACCCTAAACCCTAAACCCTAAACCCTAAACCCTAAACCCTAAACCCTAAACCCTAAACCCCAAACCCTAAACCCTAAACCCTAAACCCTAAACCCTAAACCCCCAAACCCCAACCCTAAACCCTAACCCCAAAATGCCTTGTTTACTTAATTGTAAGGTGTTTGTTTGTTGCTAGACACTAAACACTGAAACCCTAAACCCTAAACCCTAAACCCTAAACCCTAAACCCTAAACCCTAAACCCTAAACCTGAAACTCAGGGCCTAGGCCGCCCCCCTTCAGAGGGGGGGCGGCGCTTAAGCCCTTCGACTTCTATGGCGAAAGTCGACCCAGGTCGCTTGCCCGCCTCCTGCAGCCAGGAGGTCGGTAGCACCCACGATGGGCCCGGTACCGGAACAGGTTCTCCCGGGGACTTCTGCTGGAAGGTCCCGGCCTGTCTGGCCACTGGCCTTCGGACCTGGCTACAAAAGAAAGGTTTTTTTTGAAGTAAGCGATTGTCATGAGTTTAGGCCTAAACCCTAAAAGGAATAGGTTTGGGTGGTTTTGCCGCCTCGAACGGCGTGGGGTGGGAGAAAGTTGTTGATGGCCCTCCAAAATCGGGCCAGAGCTGCTTTGCGCATTTGACGAGGCATTCGAGCCGCTGCTGCATCCTAACCTTCACAGCATCTACGCCCTATTGCAGCAAACCCTGAAACCTGAAACCCTAAACCCTAAACCCTAAACCCTAAACCCTAAACCCTAAACCCTAAACCCTAAACCCTAAACCCTAAACCCGAAACCCTAAACCTAAACCTTAAGCCCGAAACCCTGAGCCAAGACAAAAACCTTGCCAGAAGCACCTCTCCTGAACTCAAAACCCTAAACCCTCTGGGGCACCAGGCTCTCGATCGTGGTCATGTTGTCATCTTCCTCAGCTGCACCCCCCCCTTCCCCCCGCTAAACCCTAAACCTCTTAACCCTGAAACCATCTTCCCTCTTGACCCCTAAACCTTAAGAACCCCTTAAACCTAAACCCTAAACCCAAAAATCTGGGTTTTATTGGTTTTCTACTCCTTTTAAACCCGGTACACACCAACAAGCATCAAGTCTGCGAAAACCTCGAGTTTTTATTGGTTTCCTACTCCTTTTAAACCCGGTACACACCAACAAGCATCAAGTCTGCAAAAATCTCGAGTTTTTATTGGTTTCCTACTCCTTTAAACCCGGTACACACCAACAAGCATCAAGTCTGCAAAAATCTCGAGTTTTTATTGGTTTCCTACTCCTTTTAAACCCGGTACACACCAACAAGCATCAAGTCTGCAAAAATCTCGAGTTTTTATTGGTTTCCTAATCCTTTTAAACCCGGTACACACCAACAAGCATCAAGTCTGCAAAAATCTCGAGTTTTTATTGGTTTCCTACTCCTTTTAACCCCGGTACACACCAACAAGCATCAAGTCTGCAAAAATCTCGAGTTTTTATTGGTTTCCTAATCCTTTTAAACCCGGTACACACCAACAAGCATCAAGTCTGCAAAAATCTCGAGTTTTTATTGGTTTCCTACTCCTTTTAAACCCTAAACCCTAAACCCTAAACCCTAAACCCTAAACCCTAAACCCTAAACCCTAAACCCTAAACCCTAAGCCCTAAACCCTAAACCCTAAACCCTACTGTATACCCTAAACCCTAAACCCTACTGTATACCCTAAACCCTAAACCCTAAACCCTAAACCCTAAACCCTAAACACTAAACCCTAAACCCTAAACCCCAAACCCTAAACCCGAAACCCTGTTTAGGGTTTCGGGTTCAGGGATATTTGCACCTTTTTCACCAAGTGTTGACCATGTCGTGCTGTCCACTTGCCACCAAGTTGACGGTTGCAGATGCGAGATTGTCTCCGAGTGACCCAACCATCCTGCCACTGGTGCCCGTGGCTGTGAACTGTGGAAACTCGGTGCATTGTTTGCCCATCGACTTCCGCCATTTCGTGCGATTGCACACTCGCTGCAGTAGCTCAGCTGCCCTTGGGTCTCCTGCCCCTGAGGCAATTGCATCCCAATCAAATTGGTTACCATGATCTCGGCCTAGGCAACTATTGCGGCCTTTGTCGTCGGTCAGCCTAACCATTTGGGTGCCCACAGGCAAGGGTGAGTTGAATTGAAGCTCACAGGATGGTCTCGCCTCAGGTGAAGGTCCTGCCGACTCCTCGGTGTAGCCAGGTGCATTCGACCAGAGCTGCCCTTGTACATCCGCTTTGTAACCTAAGTTGCAAGCACTGAAACACCAACAATGTTCAGTGATGCTCATGCTTGAAACTGCTCATGTTTACTGCCCTTCTAAGAAACATCGCCAGTGGCTGTACTTGTTGTGGATGCCGATCCTGTGGACCAGCCTCATGTATGCAAATCTCTTCCAAGCCGGAATGAGATGTTCTCTGCGACCATTCGTCTGTCGCCACAGGCCAAGCTCCTCCGACAAGCTAGTGTTTCCACGTGCAAGCTGTGTGAAGATGTACCATGCAAAGCATGTTTCTAACACACTCCTCCACAGCTTCCAGAGCCTCGGTCGCTCTGTTGAGGATTTGATTCCTGTCGACTTCGACAGCGACGGTGTGATGGGCAAGCTCTCTGACGGTTGCTTCCACCTGCTGCTTCACACGTAGCCAGGTGTTCGCCAGCGGGCACAACCTGACTTCCACCCTAAAGCCTCCCATCTTGGGCGACTCGATGGTTGTTAGGTCGTTTACCATTGCTTCAACCTTTCCTTTCAGCTGCGATAGTTGTCTCTCCTTGTAGCCCTCTGGAAGCAGGACGGGTGGAAATCCATGTGCTTTGAGATGGTGTACCCACCCACCGGGGTACAGCTTCGCATTCTTCAAGTGACAAGCATCCCCCTCTTCGCCCAACACCAGGTCACTTCGACACGTGGCTGCGTAGCCACCCAGTCCCGACCCTAATGCACCATACATGGAGTACCTTGCGAAGCAACCACATTCAGGCCTATAAATGCTACTGTCAGGAGTTCCAACACACACGAACCCTTTATGGCTGAACACAAGTCCATACACTTGTTTGGTGATCACTTCCAGCCTGGATGTGTCTGCCTTAGCCCAGCGGACATCTTGTCTGAATGAAGTGGTGGGCCCCATGACGAGAGGATGACCGTCAACCTTGTCCTGGTAAGCCAAATCGATTTCAGCATCTCTGATGTAATCCAAAGCTTCTGCATAGGGAAGCACTCCTCGAAGACATGAAGACTTGAAGGTTGCATGTTCAAGCTCTGAAAGTTCAACTACAGCTGACGATAAAATGAATTACAGCTTCCATGTTCCCCTTATGGAGTTGTCTGAGTTACCACATCGGTTTTGCTGCATTCCAGTAATATGACATCGGTAGGCATTCTGATCATGCAACTCCAAGCTTCTGCGGATTTCGTGCCAAGTTGGAGTGAGAACCTCTTCATAGAATCTTTGTGCAGGCATCTTGTAACCATACCCGCAAACGACAAGTCTTCCCTCGCACCTGTCTAAAACTCTGGTCAGCAGTCTTGCAAGGACATCTGAGTCCATGGGCCTGGAGTGAAGGGCTATGTGCAAGTCAGTCTTGCTTTTGGGAGGCATGAGCACTGGGTGCATGTACTCATCCCTCTGCAGCTCTTCCAGGAAGACTGCACCGATCTGACTTTGCTTCCTAGCCTTGGACCCGCCCGGTACGTGTACTCGCAAAGTATACGGAGAGTTTGCGATTTCCAGGCCACCTGGCAGCCCATCTGATCTAACCGAAGAGCCTCCCACTTGCCACCAGTCTGCAAAAAGTGGAAGGCACTGCGGGAGAATGGGTATCGACAGGTAGTCGAGATCCAAGCTCATTCGGCTGTCCTCTGGCAGCACGTCTTCCAGCAGGAACTCTTGCTGCCGTTCGATGTTCCCACGTCGTTCTTCCAGCCCAGCTTGCAGCAGTCGTGCGATTCTGCCCACCCTGCTGGCCCTTCGCAACGACTCCGACCGGAGGCCTGCTTTAAATTGCTGCATGAACCGATTCACTTTGGCATATGTGCTGTGAATCCCCGGCGACAGGAAATACAGTGGCATTACCTCAGGTGTGATGATGTCGTCCTCACCGGTATCTCTGTGCAGTCGCAATGCGGGAAGAAATTCGCATATTCGTTGTGTCACGACTTTTGGCAACCCGTGTGCCAGTGCTGGTCGCCACGGAGTCCCTGGGGGATGTTCAGGTTATGAAAGTATATAAACCAACAATACCAGTGAGGCCTGAAGCCCTTAACCTCTATAAAGACAAAAGTCTTCGGAGCCTTACAAGCTTGTGGACAAAGACAACAATGTTCCAGTTGTGCCTGGTATTCTTGATTGTGTAAGGTCAGCTTAAACCACGTAGTGGTGTGGCATGCAGGGATGCGAAATATGGTGTTGTAATATTTTGAGAGAATGTGGCACCTCGGTCTCTGCACCTGCTGCTGCTTGCAGCCTCGCGTTCTGCATCTCTGGCTTCACCTTCGGGGTTTGAGGGGGTCTGTAATTCAGTGACTGGATTCCGGAGAATGGCAATGCTTGCAACATGCCCCTTAGGCTTAAACCCCAGTAGCTCACTTTGGCCTCGTTCTGCATCTCCAGCTTCTCCTTTCATGGTTTGAGGGTCAAGGAGCCACGTTGCTAAAAACTGAAAGGCTCGAAAACCACAATCTGTGTTCATGGTATTTGAGCCCTGTTCTGGCCTTCCAGCAGTCTTGCCACAGCTGGATCTGGTCCAGGCACTGTAGGCCCATGCAGGAACCTAGATCCTCTTGGCTGGCCAGACCGCCTTCCTTCAGCAGGCACGTAGAGCAGCCTGGCAGGGACACTTTTCTACAGAGTTGACTCCATGCAACTTGTCATTCTACTTGCAACACTACCTGCCCACCATCAGATGCAGCATGAGCAGGACCCTTGGAGCCTTCATGCAGGGGACCAAGCAATGTAGCAAAAGCCTTCTACACAAAGGTTTTCCTTGAGCAAACGACACGATGCAAAATATTCGGCTAGTACAGACGTCCATTGCAAAACCCATGTGTTCCTGGGTTTAGGGTTTAGGGTTTGAACCCTAAAACCCTAAACCCTACACTGGAGGATGCTGGCAAGGATGAGATGCTGCAAGCTTGGCTCCTGATGAAAGAGGGCTTGTATTGCTGGCAAACCATGTTCCTATGACTTTGTCACAAGGCAGCAACATGAACATGTCCTTGTTGTGGTAAAAAAGCATGACATTTCCAACCTGCAAAATATACAAGTTTAGTCTCTTCGGTAATTCAGCCATAACTCTTCCAGCTCTATACATCCTCTGGACTGCCTTTTTCTAATTAAGCCCAGCATGAAACTCCACATGCATTGGGAACCCTGGCCTTCTCATTTCTATTCTCCTGCTTGTGGTCCTGAGGCAAAGTTATCACCAGTTGGTGACTCTACGAGCCTAGCATGGCTGCCACAAAAGTGACATGCTCCTCCTTGAGGTCAACCTGCTTCTTGATCTTCTCATGTTCCCCAACCTCTGAGCGATTTGTGTTGAAGGTTTTCGCCTGCAGTTGAACTTCATGAAATTCCGTGTTCCAAACTTCTGACTATTTCTTGGCTTCAGCACCAGTCTTGAACCATGCTTGTGCCTTGACTTGCTTGTAAAGGTCAATTTCCTTCTTCTCCTGTGCAGGACACACACCAGAACTTGTATCCCCCAAGCAATCTTGCACACCTGAGCAAGCGTTGAGAAGCATGCACATGCACTCTACCTTGAAGCTTTGGAGGGTTCTTCTCTTCTCAGCCTGCCAGCAGACATCGTGCTAAGCTTAACCCTCAAGCCCTTTTTGCACAAACCCTGAACCATCCAGAGTCTGTACAAGCCTTGCAACCCAACATCTATCCAACCTGTGCCCTAAATTCTTGCCTTGGCAGCCTTGATCTTCTCTTGGTGAGCCTTCCTTGCCCTTTCCTTCTTGTTGCCCTTTGGATGCCTCCCTTTAGTTGGCAAATACCAGCCATAAGGAGCTTCTGGCTCCTGTTGTGTATGACACGCAGCTTTCTGACACAGCCATGCTTTATTGCTGGCACATCCGAAGCAAGATAGCACATCATATGTCCACCCGCATATCCTTCTGCATCAAGGGGATGATCTCCTATAGGCATCCAAACTCAGTCTGCATGGTCTCAAAGTATCACATTCACTCCTCGGCCACACTCTCGAAAGGGTCTTCACCTGCCATAGTCATGGCAAGCTCCTGCCAAGACAGGACACATCAATTCTATTTACCTGGTTCAGCTGCCTCTACACAACCCATGACGTGCCTGCTCCAACAAGTCTGCCCACGACATTGCTGCCATTTCAACCTTTTAAATTGAGCACTTCAATCTGTAAATTGAGCCAATGGTGCTGCTGTTCACCAACACCCTGGTCAAGGAAGCTGAGGTGGTCCTAATGATCTGGAAATGATAAGGGTAATAGTCATAGTAGTGGTGTTGATCGTAATAATCAGAGGGGGCCTTGAAATGCACCCAACATGAATGGGCCAAAATATGCTTTTGTTTTTGTCTTGCCTGAAGCTCTAACCCTAAACCTAAACCCTCAACCCTAAACCCAAAGCCCAAAACCCAAAACCCTAAACCCTAAGCCCTAAACCCTAAACCTTAAACCCGAAACCCTAAACCCTAAACCCTAAACCCTACACCCTAAACCCTAAATCCTAAACCCTTAACCCTTAACCCTCAACCCTTAACCCTTAACCCTTAACCCTTAACCCTTAACCCTTAACCCTAACCCCAAAATGCCTTGTTGCTCCACTGAAGCTCTGAACAAAAAGCCTGAACCCTAAACCCTAAACCCGAAACCCTAAACCTAAACCTTAAGCCCGAAACCCTGAGCCAAGACAAAAACCTTACCAGAAGCACCTCTCCTAAACTCAAAACCCTAAACCCTCTGGGGCACCAAGCTCTCGATCGTGGTCATGTTGTCATCTTCCTCAGCTGCACCCCCCCCCCCCGCTAAACCCCAAACCTCTTAACCCTGAAACCATCTTCCCTCTTGACCCCTAAACCTTAAGAACCCCTTAAACCTAAACCCTAAACCCAAAAATCTGGGTTTTATTGGTTTTCTACTCCTTTTAAACCCTAAACCCTAAACCCTAAACCCAACCCTAAACCCTAAACCCTAAACCCTAAACCCTAAACCCTAAACCCTAAACCCTAAACCCTAAACCCCAAACCCCAAACCCTAAACCCTAAACCCTAAACCCTAACCCCCAAACCCCAACCCTAAACCCTAACCCCAAAATGCCTTGTTTACTTAATTGTAAAGTGTTTGTTTGTTGCTAGACACTAAACACTGAAACCCTAAACCCTAAACCCTAAACCCTAAACCCTAAACCCTAAACCCTAATCCCTAAACCCTAAACCCTGAAACCCTAAACCCTAAACCCTAAACCCTAAACCCTAAACCCTAAACCCTAAACCCGAAACCCTAAACCTAAACCTTAAGCCCGAAACCCTGAGCCAAGACAAAAACCTTGCCAGAAGCACCTCTCCTGAACTCAAAACCCTAAACCCTCTGGGGCACCAGGCTCTCGATCGTGGTCATGTTGTCATCTTCCTCAGCTGCACCCCCCCCTTCCCCCCGCTAAACCCTAAACCTCTTAACCCTGAAACCATCTTCCCTCTTGACCCCTAAACCTTAAGAACCCCTTAAACCTAAACCCTAAACCCAAAAATCTGGGTTTTATTGGTTTTCTACTCCTTTTAAACCCGGTACACACCAACAAGCATCAAGTCTGCGAAAACCTCGAGTTTTTATTGGTTTCCTACTCCTTTTAAACCCTAAACCCTAAACCCTAAACCCTAAACCCTAAACCCTAAACCCTAAACCCTAAACCCTAAACCCTAAACCCTAAACCCTAAACCCTAAACCCTAAACCCTAAACCCTAAACCCTAAACCCTAAACCCTAAACCCTAAACCCTAAACCCTAAACCCTAAACCCTAAACCCTAAACCCTAAACCCTAAACCCTAAACCCTAACCCCCAAACCCCAACCCTAAACCCCCCCAAAATGCCTTGTTTACTTAATTGTAAGGTGTTTGTTTGTTGCTAGACACTAAACACTGAAACCCTAAAACCTAAACCCTAAACCCTAAACCCTAAACCCTAATCCCTAAACCCTAAACCCTGAAACCCTAAACCCTAAACCCTAAACCCTAAACCCTAAACCCTAAACCCTAAACCCGAAACCCTAAACCTAAACCTTAAGCCCGAAACCCTGAGCCAAGACAAAAACCTTGCCAGAAGCACCTCTCCTGAACTCAAAACCCTAAACCCTCTGGGGCACCAGGCTCTCGATCGTGGTCATGTTGTCATCTTCCTCAGCTGCACCCCCCCCTTCCCCCCGCTAAACCCTAAACCTCTTAACCCTGAAACCATCTTCCCTCTTGACCCCTAAACCTTAAGAACCCCTTAAACCTAAACCCTAAACCCAAAAATCTGGGTTTTATTGGTTTTCTACTCCTTTTAAACCCGGTACACACCAACAAGCATCAAGTCTGCGAAAACCTCGAGTTTTTATTGGTTTCCTACTCCTTTTAAACCCGGTACACACCAACAAGCATCAAGTCTGCAAAAATCTCGAGTTTTTATTGGTTTCCTACTCCTTTTAAACCCGGTACACACCAACAAGCATCAAGTCTGCAAAAATCTCGAGTTTTTATTGGTTTCCTACTCCTTTTAACCCCGGTACACACCAACAAGCATCAAGTCTGCAAAAATCTCGAGTTTTTATTGGTTTCCTAATCCTTTTAAACCCGGTACACACCAACAAGCATCAAGTCTGCAAAAATCTCGAGTTTTTATTGGTTTCCTACTCCTTTTAAACCCTAAACCCTAAACCCTAAACCCTAAACCCTAAACCCTAAACCCTAAACCCTAAACCCTAAACCCTAAACCCTAAACCCTAAACTAAGTGAGGGGTCGCTTCCGTCGAGCGACAGACCCCGAACGCTCGGCCGAGGGCCTTACAGCCCGAGCGCCCAAGCGAAAAGAGAAACGGAAAGGTGAGGGTTAAGCCTCACCGTCTGTCCTGGACAGGCCAACGGACATCGGCCTTTTTTACGACAACGTCAGTACTCGTCGGCTAAGGGATGGCCGGCACCCAGACCACCTTTAGCGTAGCTGAAGTATAACCCCAAATCGTAACCCTTTGCCTCTGGAGGTCGGTTCAGGGTTTTGGGTTCAGGGTTTGTCGGCCCCCCCCGGCGGGGGCCCCCTGGTCCCTGGTAGCTGGATTCCTGGACCACGAGGCTGGCGGAGGGGTCCAGGCAGGCTGGTTGCTCAAGCACCCCCCGGGCCAAGAGGCCGCCCGGCCAAGGGCCCCCGGGCCAAGGGCCGCCCGGGCCAAGGGGCCCCCTGACCAAGGGCGCCGGGGCCAAGGGCCCGGCCAAGGGCCTCCCCGGGCCAAGGGCGCCCCGGGCCCGGGGCCAACGGGTTAAGGGCCCTGGCCAAGGGCTCAAGGGCCGGGCCAAGGCCAAGGGATTCACGGACCAGGGGGGGTCAAGGGCTTTCCGGGCCAGGGGCCCCCGCAAGGGCCTCGGACCGACCCAAAGGCTTCAAAAGCTTCAAAAGGCCCACTAAAAGAAGGGGGACCATAAGATTTGTCCGTGCCCACAATGAAAAATGCGATTTTTGAATATTGAAAACGATGGTTTTACGCACCCCTGCCCGTAATGAAAAATGTTCTTTTTTAGTACTGAAATCGATGGCTCCCCCAAATCAGCAAGGACCTCTACGGGCCCTGACGTGCCGAAGGCCCGGAAAGGACCGAGGCTACCCCGAACCCCAACCTAAACCCTAACACCGCAAAACCCTACAACGGCCTTCAAGTAAATAAGGGCCTCTCCGGGCCCTAACGTGCCGAAGGCCCGAAAAGGGCCGAGGCTACCCCGAACCCCAGCTTAAACCCTAACACCGCAAAACCCTGCGAAGGCCTTCAAGCAAATAAGGGCCTCTACGGGCCCTAACTTGCCGAAGGCCCGAAAAGGGCTGAGGCTACCCCGAACCCGAGCTTAAACCCTAGCGATTGGGTTCCCTGACCTTCAAATGAACAAAACCTCTGCTGTGCGGCAGACCATCTGAAAAGGGTGCAAGAGACTTCTGCTCCCAAAAGCACCAATTAAGAAATGAAGTGAAACCTGAATTTTTGATTCATCCATTCTGAAACCGAGAGAATCCCATACAAGGGAAAAGAACATCCACTCACGAAATCCCACAGTGAAACAAGCCACGCTTGGGCAATGCACCCGCCGCCACCCCCAATTAACCTCTGACACGCCGAAGGTGTGCGGCAGACCATCTGAAAAGGGTGCAAGAGACTTCTGCTCCCAAAAGCACCAATTAAGAAATGAAGTGAAACCTGAATTTTTGATTCATCCATTCTGAAACCGAGAGAATCCCATACAAGGGAAAAGAACATCCACTCACGAAATCCCACAGTGAAACAAGCCACGCTTGGGCAATGCACCCGCCGCCACCCCCAATTAAGGGAAGACGTCAGTGGATCGGAGATACCAAAACAACGAAAGAAGGATTCTCCCGGAAGAAAAGAGACTTCTGCTCTAATCCATGAATTCAGAAACTAAGTCGAGCTCATTCCTATCAAATGGGATATCAAGTATTCACTGGCAAATTCAGTCGTAGATCAATAGACCATTCCATCCATCTGCGCGGGGGAATCCTGATCATGTCTCCGAATATATTTGGAAGAATTGGAAGGAACGATCCCACGTGGATTGCGAGCCCTTGCTTCCATCTCTAGCTCGCTGTAAGCAAATGTGTCCGTGTTGCTGAAGAATGAAAGAGATACGTTGTCTCAAGAGTTGACCCGTCGACCCCGGTTTACGCAGAAGATTGTCGTCGACTGCCCGACAAAGTGATGTCAAAAGACGATCCCCTTCCGGCTCCAAACCTCCCGAATGTTCAAAGACCAATGGTTCAAATCCTACGCCCTGAGCATGACATCTCTGAGCTGTCGCACGATCTCTACGCTTGTTCTCCGCCCGAGCTTTGGCAGCCGACAAACTTTCACGTCCCAGATCCGATGACCGAAAAGGAGAAACAATCGAGATATCAAGGGCAATCTTCGGCATCAGACCCCAAACAGATTGCCTACAAAGAGCAGTGGGGATAGTCAAGATATCCGCCGGGCGTTGAGCAGGCAAGTCAGGGAGAAGATGATTGGGTTCCAATTTGCACTGTAATTTCCCTCCCTGAAGAGTCCGATAAATTTCGTCCCGAATCATATTATGCAGGACCGTTTTTCCTCCAAGCATATGACAAGCGAGCGTATGG